TCAAAGCTACTTGGGTGGTCAGAATAGGTTTCCTTTATACAGTGTGTCTCACGTAATTTCAGCAAGAGTTTAAAATTATGCCGGAACACGTAATTAAGATGAGATAAACTGCATGTTTCTCACCGTTGCCTGGAGTTAGTCAGACTATTTTTGTGCTCTCAAATGTTGTTTAATTATAAGTGTTTATTTACCTAACTTTTCAAAAAACAAAGTTAGATAAAAATTTTAATGATAATGTTGTAGATAGGTTTGCAAAACGTCCGTTTAGACAGTTTTGAACTTTATACCCTTTAGGTGTTAGTGTTTTTCTGCTAATTACAAATGCCCGTAAAATAGAAAAAATACCACGTGACAAACCCACTCGTGTGCCAGTGCGCGCAATGATTCTAGTCCTCCTTAACGTTCCGTGTACGAAAGACCAAGGCATTTGCCGCATTGTACTGTCTCGCAGGGCCACAACGATGGTGGTGGCTTCATGATAAACACGTTTTGCTATCGACCACAAAAGCGATAACAACTGTGACTGCTTATCGCTGTCATGAACCGGTGCAAGAGAATCGTGTTGTTCGTTATCATGTGATATTTTTGTATTTTGCAGGTTTTTGTAATTAGCAGAAAGACACTAATGTTGAACTGTGATAAAGTTCAAAACAATCTATTTGGACGTTTTGCGAACTGATCTACAACTTTCTCATTGAAATTTGTTATCCATCTTCGTTACTTCAAAATTTACGTAAATAAACAGATCTAGTTAAACAATAATTGAGAACACAAAAAATACTCTGACCAACTTCAGGCAACGGTGAGCAACATGCATTTGGTCGAGTCGTCATTATGTGTTCCGGCATATTTTTAAATTCTGGCTAAAAATCCATGGGAAACTCTTTATACCTTGAGGATTAATCGTGGGTGTGCAGCACGAGCCACAAGCTGTGGTGAGTGTGGGTGTTGTAAAATTACGTGAATGTTGGGTGCACGTTTCTGTACTGTGATCAATGTTGTGTCCTTCCTCGAATGTAAATAAAGTTACCCTTGCACATAGTATGGCTGCGGACCAAATGTTTTTTCTCTATGAATGGGAAAATTTCCTTTCATACTTAACCAAAAAAGATCTTTGAATAATGAAAAAAACTCCCATAAATCCACCCAACTCAAAAATATCCTCCTGTTAGAAATGCTTTACTCTCTCCGGACGGTGCTTAAAAACCCCCATAGGGACAAGCGCTAGAGAACAAGGTGTTTACTTCCACCTCGGCTTAATTTTGTTTGCTGCCATTATCATCAGTTCCACGAGAAAAAGACTCAACATTTAATCTTGTGCGTGCATATGTACCAAACAAGTCTATATAAATTGTATGTAGATGTTGACCAGTAGCAAGAGCAAGAAGCAACTATGAAAAAAAAAAGAAGTATTGGCAGAAACATACGACCATCTGTGGCTGCTCCTACCGTTCATATTGGCATTTTCAGAGTGAAGATGTAGATTCATCAAAAAACTGGGCGCTCTTGTTAATATCTTCCTGTAATTAGGTGCCTGGAAGCCATTCGTCGGTGTGTAATGAAGACGCAATTGTTATTTAGAAAGGAAAATCGCGTTGATCTTGACTGTGCTACTTGTAAACATGAACCGAAATGGCACGTTCTTCGGATAAATACTCGTTTTACAACCTATTTAAGTGTTTTGGCATGGCGTCGTAGATAGAATACTCGTCTGGGAATCAAAAGAAGGTTAGTGCAATCCTGTCGGTAGACATTTTATTTTTCATTGTGAATGCACGCTAAACCACTTCTTTTACTTACATATTTAATTATTTATGGCGAATAGGAACGCCTGTATAACCATGTGAAGCCATTTTGCGTTGAGCACCTAGAACCTTCCAGCTACATGCCACTCCAGCGTCCTAGTTCCAGCACGGAACCTGGCCCATAATTAAGTATGAAGCTGGACGATGATACCTGGTGGCACTGGGTTTTGCGAAAGGAATGTTAGTTATGCAATATGTCATCTGAACAAAACCACCGCAAGAACAGCAAGACCATGAAATGTAAGTCATGACAATTATTGACTTACAAATCATGCATTTAACGTAATGACTAGGGACTTATGCTCACCATACAGTCATGTTACGCATATTAATTTTGGTATTGATACCATTATCCATACGGTCGGGGGAAATAGAAGCCGTAGGTGGCTAGATAGATAGATAGATAGATAGATAGATAGATAGATAGATAGATAGATAGATAGATAGATAGTAGATAGATAGATAGATAGATAGATAGATAGATAGATAGATAGATAGATAGATAGATAGATAGATAGATAGATAGATAGATAGATAGATAGATAGATAGATAGATAGATAGATAGATAGAAGAGGGCCAATCTTCTGACGGCCACACGCGATGCCATCGCGGCTTTTCTAACGGGCTTCTTGTCCACCCGGCGAGTACGCGTCTATTACCGACGCAACATCGTTGGAGCGCACATTCAACCCTTTGCCAACCCCAGCCCCTCTTCTCCAGGTCAGCCGAATGCGAGATCTACGTCAGAGGAAAACTTGTTGTGGATAATACCAGCGTCGGAACCATCTTCAGCGTCTATGCAAACCTCGTTATGGATGACATCATGAGCAATCTGGTCTCTGCTGTCCCTGTCGTTTCCCGTCTGCGCCAAAACGGCAGTCTCACGCTCACTTTTCAGGGCACCACCACTCCACCGGAAATTTTTCTGTACAAGCTCAAGAGGCTGGTGCGCCCTCGGCAGCCACGATCTCTTCAGTGCTCCTGCTGTGGTCGCTTCAGCCATGCCACGGTGACCTGCTCGCGGGACAAGCGCTGCCTTCGTTGCGGTGGCAGGCATCACGAGGGAACGCGCTCCACGACGTCCGCACGCTACATTAACTGTTGCGGAAACCACTCAGACAAGCCACGCTGCCCATTCTGGCAGATTCAACGCAAAGCCGCCGTCATCATTGATATTGGGGATGGCCCCGTGACGTGTCGCCAAGCGTTAGAGAAAGCCGGGGCCGCTTTCAACACCAACAACTCTCTCTCAACACCAACTACAATCGTGGCAGTGCGCCGGTCGTGAAAAATTTCTCCTTTCGCGACCCTGTCCTGCGGGGGCCGACCGATGTCGGTTTCTCACCCCCGCCCGCCCACGAGTGCGCCTATCATTGTGACGACCCTGTCTCCCTCGATTGGCTACAGCCTGGCTCCAGCCGTCGACCCGAAGGACGCAGTACTAGCTGGACTTGCTGAAGCAATTCGTGCGATGCTTACGACTAGGGAATTCGCCATCGCACGGCTTGTGTGCCGTAGCTTTGCTTGCCTACGATGCCCTCAAGCCTACGGATTAGCCTCTGAAGTGGTGCTACCAACGGGGCTCGCCAGACTAACACCGTGAGTTCGGAGGGCCCCTTTCTTCCTCTTGCCCGTAGTGAACGTGCGCATCATTCTAATTTCGACTTTCTCGGTGGTCTTCTCGGTAGACCGCGCGTGGTGCGCGGGCATTCTTGCGCGCGTACGTGGGGCGGATCGAATGCTTTTTTCCCACTACCCTTACCTTTTTTCTTCTGGTCCTTTCATTCACATTCTTCTATCATCTGTGTGTTCTGTCGAGGTGTCATCCATAGGGAGAGACAGTAGCGGCACCAATATTGATTATTTTTTTCTCAAAGAACATCTAAGGCTACCATCAAACCCACGCCATCTTTCTTATTCTGTTGGCGAGAAGCCGCGAGGCGGCGGGTAGTTTATGTAGACAATGCAGACAGCGTGCCGATGCTTCGAGCGCGATCGAGCCGACGGGCGGGACGCCGTCCCGACACACTTCCCGCTATGATGCGCATACCTTTCGCGGTTGTCGCAGGCGTTTTGAGAGTTAGCGAAGCTGATCGCGTTCTCGAACGGCAACGTCAACACCGACAAGACGTGAGCCAGGGAAGACGAACGCAAGCATCTACGCTGGAAGACCAGAAACGCCGACGAGGTGCGCGTTTAGACCACCGATCACGTGCGGATAACAACGATGAGGCGCGAGAAAAAGAAGCCAAGCGCTAGCGTTTTGAACGTGTCCAGCTTCCCGTGTCTCTGCGTTTCAAACAAACGTTTACTCGAGTAAACGCTGCACCGTGTCTCACTTCGCACCGTTTTTCCAGCGCCTGTGTCGACGCTCATCTCCACCGGGTCGACGCCATGCGCCCCGCTGCTGCTTCGCATTCCATCAGGGTTCCCTTCGGGGCTATGTTCTTTCATAGGATATGTTTTATTCTCACTTTCCATAAAAGTTCTCTTTTAGGATCCTGTGAAGCTTCTGAAGAAGCTTCAAGATGTGCGTACCACCAATGCCTAATGATGTGTATAAACAGCTCGCCGTTTGTAGGCGTGGTGGCCGAGTGGCTAAGAAGGTAGTATCCTGCAGCGTGAGGTCACAGGTTCGACTTTCCATTCTCACTAGAACCCCTGTTTCTAGTATTTTTTGTTTGTATCTACCTTAAATTATTGTTCATGAGCACGCGGATTTTTTTTCGCACAAATAAAGCAGCCGGCGCCCCTAACACCAGTGTTCCTGTGAAACCAGCTCTTTCACGCTATCGCGTTAAAAGCTTCACCGATTTCCACGTTTTCATGGGACCTGCTCAGCTTTTTCGTAATTTTTTTATTGTAGTAGCAGCGCTATGTTACCACAGAGCTGACATCTAACTGATTTTATGTATCGCACAAATTTACTTTGCTTTAACCGGCACGGTAATATAGTGGATATAGTGCGTGACTGCTAACACGAAGGTTGCAGGAGGAAATCACGGCCGTTGCGGCCGCATTTTCCGTCCATGCGAAAATGCTTGAGGCCTGGTTGCATTCATTTAGGTGCCCGTCAAAAAACACCTATTGGTCTAAATTTCTGAAGTCCTCCACTACGGCGCTAGTATTAATCATATCTAGGTTTACATATGTTGAAACCCAACAACAATTGAACAAATAATTTTTTTACTTACCTGTAAGAACTGTACCACGGAATAATTAAAGGCAACATGTTTGTTCCGTACATCTGCCACGCAGAAACACCGCAAGTGATCAGTGAAAGCGCCGTGAAGACGAAAGCTACCAAACGTTTTTTCCTGCACAGAGATAATTTCAGTTTTCTGTTGAGCTTGGTAGCAAGGTATACAGGAGGAGTGAAGCGATAGCGGGCGCACATGAATGATCATGCATTCGCACATGCTCGTGCACGCACAAATCTCATCAGATAAGACGGTCATCAATGAATAAATTAGTCTGATCGCATCGAATAAGTGAGACAAGCACACGTGCGCGCACGCACATGTTTGCTTGTCTCTCCTGTGCCCAGGCTAGATTTAGGTTACGTTAGCATGTTTGAGAACCGACAACATGAACAGCCGATATATATTATAAGTTATCATCATCCTAACAAGTCACATCGCAAAAAAAATTGCGTACCAATATAGCCGACAAAGAAGGAAAATGCAGTGACTACTCTTTGTCGACTGCTTGACTATCCAACACGATACAGGGTTAAATTTGGGGTGACAGATTACGCTTTAATGAAGAATGCGTTCTAAGTACCTACTCAGCTGCATCTTTCTTGGAAGCTTCATCTGTCAGTCATAAAGGCAATGCTAATATGCCAGGTGTTCGAAGTTAAGCTTTATGATTTTCTAAGAACTAGGCGCTCGAAGGTGCGTGAGAACCACTAGTGCGAATAAGTTAAGCGGCTAATGGGACAGATAGTTAGGTGATGATTATCGCTTTCAGTGGCCCAAATAACTAAAAATTAATTATTAACTTTTTACTGGCTACGGTAAGTTGGCACGTTTATATTGAAAAAAATGTAGGCAGATGCGTTTGTACACAGTTTAATTTGAAAGATTTATTTCTAGTAGACCTGTGCTTCGAAATATGCAGCTCCAAAGTTTAACTGCCTTTCGCATGATCACATATGCAAGAGAGTGAGTGTCACTGCAAAGCTCCTCCCTTAAAGGACGCATCTGTTGCGTGTGGTGTTTAGTGTGTGAAAAGGGTGGAAGCGTACGCATACACGGAAAGAATTTCCTTTGCCCTCTCGGCCGCCGAAATAAAAGTGTGACAGCGCGGTGCGCCATGAGCATGACGCATGATCCCGATGAACGCGATAACAAAAGACCATTTTTATGACTTTATATCACATGGAGTCAGCTTCTTGTTAACGCGTTAGCTTGACCGTCTTGTACTAGGGTGCCTCTGGTAGCTCAGTGTCTCTGCTATGAAGGTCTACTAAGCAAATCTAAGTGGAGTGCTTTCGAGCTAATATGGCTGCTTCTGGCGTGAGGTATCCTAACAAAAATGTACACGTGGTGCTTGTAACGGCTGAAATGAATGGCAACGCTTCGTTAACAATGAAGCTTTACGCGGCTTGCCACTCACCAACAAGGCCCACTTTCCTAAAACTATTTTGGCGCTTAACACAACAGGCTCTGCCCACCTTCTAAGACGGCCCACTCCGACAATCGTCGACAAATACTTTGAAATCGATGTTTTCGCTTGCGTAACCTTGATGCAGAGCTCTACATTCGACAGATTACCGATCAGTGTGGTGGCAGCGTGGGAACAGCCAGAAATATTTCAAAAAATCAGAAGGTCTGTTCATATCACGTTTACCTTCATCAGGACCTAAATAGGGCGGATTTGGAAAAGCGAGTAGACTTCTGCAGTTGCAGCATCATTAAAACTGATAAATGAAATGACTTTTTGCACAGAATAATTTGCACTGATGAAGCTCGGTTTTGCCGAAATGAAAGTGTTGATTTTTACAACACTCATCATCGGCGACAAGAAAACCCACACTGGCTAGGGCTACACAACAATAGCGTTCGCTGGAGTGTGAATGTGTGGTGGGGCATACTCGGGGACAGGATAATTGAACCTCACTTTTTTGAGGACAACTTGAGTGGAAAAAGTTGTACACAGAAGAATTATTCAGTGTTGTCACTGATGATATTCTCTGCAGTGTTTCCCTGAATGCCCTGCGCCAGCTATGGTTTCAGCACGCCTACGAGCCATCACATCCATTTACCAGGGCAATAAACTGGTTGGACAGGCGTTTTCCACAACAGTGGATATGGGCGCGCAGGATCAATGTTTCGGCCACCAAGATTTCTTGGACCTTTCTCCGCTCAACTTTTACTTACGGCCTAGGTTAAAGATAGAGTTTAGGTAAGAGAGCCCGGCAATGGTAATGACATAAAGGACAGAACATCTGCTGGACATCTGCCTGTGCGAGTATTCCTGCATAAGTAGTGCGCCTAGTCATCGAGGTGACGCGGGAGTGGTTCATACTCTGCGTTGCTGCTGATAGCTGGCCTTTTGAAAACTTTTTGCGGCATTGACGTTAGAGAGTTGAAGAATTTCGATCATATTTGTGCATGACCGAAATAAGCCTATGTAGCAGCAGGAAGTATGCGTTAGCGAGGATAAAGCTGTTTCAGGTGTTATTGGTGGAGTTGTTGCTCTTGATTTTAATAAAAGTTACAGTACACGGACATCAACAGTCACGCTATTCGCGTAATCTTGGCAACAACTACACACACTTCTTTCGCACGCGCACTGGCATCCAGATTTTTTGCTCGCCCCATTACCTCCACATGGTGTCTGCCACAATCACCAGAGGCTCTGCAGTTGCGTGTTGCTACTCTAGTTGCAAGGGTTCTTTTTTTTATTTCGACGGCCGAGAGGCCAAGGCTAACTGTTATCACCTATGTCTACGCTTCCACCTTCTTCACACACTAAACAACGCACACAACAGATGCGTCACTTTAGGGAGGGGCTTCATGCTGAACGTCAACATCTTGCATGCGTTATCATGCGAATGACAATTCTACTTTAGAGGTGGATACATCGCAGCACAGGCATACTGGAAAAAATCTTCTAACTTAAACTGTGCACAAACACCATTGTCTACAATTTTTTTTCCAATATAGACATGCGAACTTACCACAGCAAGTAAAAAGCTAATTATTACATTTTAGTTAGTTGAGCTGCTGATAGCGATAATTATCATCTAACTTTCTGTCCCGCTGGCCGCTTAACTTGTTTGCACAAGTGGTTCTCACGTGCCTTCTAGCACCAAAGTTTTCAAAAAATCATAAAACTCCTGGTATTTTCCTCACATCAAGTGAGCATGTTGCAATGAATACTTACGTCCCGAATGCCTGAATTACGAGCACGGCGACAACAAACAGCTGGTAGTCCGCGGAAAGGTACCACAATTGGATCATCGGAGCCTGCAAAGATAAAGAGCAGACAAAGTTCACAGGTCTGACATAATCGCTTTGATCCTTAAAACGCAGAATAAAGTTCGTATTTTATAAACACAGTTTTAGACTTATTTATTCAGCTTTGTCATAGCGATTGTCGCATTAGTTTTTAGCCATGCCTGCGTTTCACGACTATGCAACCGAGATAGGTGGTAGGAAAAATTTATATATAAGGAAAACAATGTCAGACCTAATTACACTTCTAAAGTTATATTATTTGGATCCCACTGGAGCACGTTCACAGACAAACCCTCCCACAAGTTGAAAGAACTTCTACTGTCACGCCACCAAAGAAAGAGTGGGACTCTACAAAGCTGAATTATTCTAAATTTCACCACGACAGTTTGACTTTGGCAAAGTATTTTGGCTAAATGTGTTAATTCACAAATTACGAAATATGACCACGTGTGTTGATGCGATTTTATTTAAGCTGCCTCGTTATATTCTATCCTGACGCTTCACATTTTATTTTGACACCCAGCACACCAACCAGTCCGTGCACCACTGCATCTTTGGGCACAAATTGAGCGTGCTCAATTCCATTGAGCAAGGGAGCTGTACATGCTTATTTTTGGCAGTTGAGCGATGTTTTTTATGTCAAATCACTTCAAGAAATCGCATGTTTTTACATATATGCCTTCATATTCCTTCCAAATTATCAGCACTTGTCATGTGGTCGCTGTCTTAATGTGGGCTTGAGAGCAGCGGGCTTACTGTTTGATAGTCTTCTGTTCTCCAATTCCGAATCTGCAGAAGCAAGCTCCACCATTGATCGTGCACTTCAGTGTAAAACCTGTTGTAAAATTCCTTGGAGTTGGGCCCCGATACCATCAGTGGCAGTAGGTATATGCACATGATCATAAAAAATACTGGAATAGTAGTTCTGCAAACAAAAGAGAAAAATTACTGTTAAAAATCTTCAGGCAATTGACCCAAAGGCATTCTTGGGTTGAATTTGTAATAATTCACCCTTACAATGGTCCAATAATTGAGGCATTTGTAACACCTTATGAGAATTTTTAAACAAACCAAAGTGAATGAAAGCTTTACGTGTAAAAGTAAAGGTTCATGGTGCGAAGTTGACACTAAATTTAGTGAAGCAAATTGTACTTTTTAGTCTTAATTTATATATATATATACAATATGCCAGATATAATGATTTATTACTGAGTAGGAATATATAAGTGCCGCTCTTTGGCCCAGCTTACCGAATTATTCTTCTGATGAGCATGATGACTACTCCGATGATTCGATTCCTTTTTTGGTTATTAAGGCTGTGGTACAGCAGAAAACCACTGGAACAAAAAGCACCAAACGTTACTGTACCGTTGTTGCTGAATGGAAGCTTCAAGTGTAACAGAAAAAAAATTACACAGGAACTTTGCACATCATAAATGTCACCTGTTGGAACGACATGCACTAAAGTAGAATCCGGGGCTCATCATACCAGGGCGTGAAAACTCCGATGTTTCATAGTGGATATTTGGTGCCGTATGCCAGTTATATGAAAAAAATCTATATTTACCATAACCTCATACACTAGTGATGGAGTAGATAGTCATATATGCTAAATGATTTAGTAACTTAGATGCGGGTGAAAAGTATAGTACTGGGGCTGGATTCATAAAATAACTTACGAGCACATTTTCGCGCAAGAGAAAGTTTGTCGCGTAAGTCGATGCACGAAGCAAAAAAAAAAAGTCGTTTTGGCGACTGCAATAAAGCGCGCTGCTACTGCTGACGTACATGTCAGCGATGGTGATACAGTTGCTATATTTGCTTACGTCACTGAAAAGTGCTCGCAAGTGAATTGACGAAGCAAAATTTTGCGTAAGAAAAGCATGGCTGAGAAAAAATCCTTAGAGTGGTGCGGACTACTCTTAGGAACAATGTGACGAGTTATAATCTGCTTTAGCGGCGGTATACTTTGGTGCCCTGGCTCGTTTTTAGGTGATTCACGCACATGTAGTGCTGTCTGATGACGGGTGCCCCGCCGCGGTGGTCTATGGGCTAAGATACTCGGCTGCTGACCCGCACGTCGCGGGTTCAAATCCCGGCAGCGGCGGCTGCATTTCCGATAGAGGCGGAACTGTTGTGTGCCCGTGTGCTCAGATGTGGGTGCACGGTGAAAAACCCCAGGTGGTGGAAATTTCCGGAGCCCTCCACTACGGCGTCTCTCATAATCATATGGTGGTTTTGAGACGTTGAACCCCACATATCAATCAACCTGATGACGGCTGGGGCGTTTTCATTTATTTCGGCGCTTTGAGCTTCGTGTGTTGTTTGTTTAGTACGCAGTGCACCGTATTGACAACCACCATCGACCAATGAGTTCGGAGTCGCAGTAGTTGAAGAATTTTATTGAGTGTCAGTAGCGTAAAATTGTGCATGTAAAGACTTGTGGTTGCATGAAAGCCAATGTGGCACGGCATCTGATCAACTTTATTTGTTATGTTGTTGTGGTGCGCGCCACCTCATCCAATTAAAAGTACAACTTGATAACCTTGCCTCATTGGTAAAAATTACCACCAAAGAGGTTAATAGGGGGCACAATCCTTGCACACAGTTCGAAATAAAATTGAGCGGAACTTTTCAGTTAGCGGTTCATAAAGTCTATTCTGTGGTTGTGCTCTAGTGTACTTCGATTGGCTCTAACTGTCCAACGGGCATGATCTATGAAATACAGGTGTCGTTACACTTCGGCATTATCTGGAACGGGCGCGTACATTGTAAACCTAAGCGCATTAGGAGGGTGCGTGATAACGCATAGAACAGCGAACAAATCAAGCGTTTCTACCTTCACTGTTCCGAAACCATTATGATGGACTATGATAATATGGCAATCAGTCAGGATAAAATGACCCTAGTAATGTTAATTGGCACCAAAAATATGCAAACTCTCACTACTCTGGAGCAAACCTTGGCTTAGTTCGTCCTTGCGACTATTACCAGCTGATTAACTTGGCACACGACTATCCTTCAAAGGTAGAACGAGCCACTGACATGTGTTTTGTGTGACGCACCGACCACTTGGCCTGGGAATAATTCTGTTGCGAAGGCGAAACCCCCGTCCCATGATCTGGTCAAGGCAGACGACAAACGCGAGCAGATAATGGCTTGTCCGTCAGGCGCTGCTTGTAATTGGTTGTGAAGGAATGCTTTCAACATCAGCTCATTCAATGACGTTGACAAAACACTTCTTTCATCAAGAACCACTGTCGTGTTCGTCAAACGTTCCCCTCACACATAAGAGCAAGTTTCGTCTCGTCGAGAAAAATGCGCAACTGTTTTTTTTTTTTTACGAGCTTACTTACGTCCTTACGTGCTGCGCAGTACTCGAAAACAACATAGCGTCGTAAACAGTGTAGGTATGTTGCTGCTGATTTTAAGAAACGCTTCTCGCATGAGTTACTTCAGCGCTCGACCGGATGCGTTGTGATTACGGCTGCTCTTTCGGTGCGTGTAAGCAGTGTGGAGAGTGGTGGCGGTGTCATGAAGTACAGCGAAGCGCAGTGAAGCCTGTGAGTTGGTGTGTTTATCAAGCGGGGATCGGCACCGACTTATCAACGGAAATTGATTGATTTGTGGGGTTTACCGTCCCAAAACCACCATATAATTATGAGAGACGCCGCAGTAGAGGGCTCCGGAAATTTCGACCACATGGTGTTCTTTAACGTGCACTCAAATCTGAGCACACGGGCCTACAACATTTCCACCTCCATCGGAAATGCAGCCGCCACAGCCGGGATACGAACCCGTGACCTGCGGGTCAGCAGCCGAGTACCTTAGCTACTAGACCACCGCGGCGGGGTGATGAACGGCAACTAGCACTCGAGAAGCCTGCAATGTGTGTTTGTGTGCCGGTAACTGTTGGTTCACTTTACTTTCCAGTCTCTCCGTTGGGTGCTGTGCGACATTTCGGATTGACAGCATTTTGGCACGTTACTTGAGTGACCCTGCCCCGCCGCGGTGGTCTAGTGGCTAAGGTACTCGGCTGCTGACCCGCAGGGCGCGGGTTCGTATCCCGGCTGCGGCGGCTGCATTTCCGATGGAGGCGGAAATGTTGTAGGCCCGTGTGCTCAGATTTGGGTGCACGTTAAAGAACCCCAGGTGGTCTAAATTTCCGGAGCCCTCCACTACGGCGTCTCTCATAATCATATAGTGGTTTTGGGACGTTAAACCCCACAAATCAATCATCTTGAGTGACCCCAAGTACGTATGGAAAACGCATGAACTACGCGCTGTGTTCGGTTCTGGCTTCGCTACTGGTTAGCCCGTACGCTTCTATTTCCTTGTAAGCAGTCTAGTGTTCGGGAGTGTTCGTTGTGAACAGTGGTGTTGTGTTGACGTTTCCAAGACTTGTTAAGGGCTGTGCTCGTGTGACCAAAAGTTGAAAGACAGCTCTGAAAACTGTTTTGCCCTGCGAAGTTGCGGCGGTGGGGCTTGGAGTTTTTGTTTGCTAACTCGTCCTTTCTCGTTTTTGTGATTACTATAGTCCGAGCGCGGTGTTGTGACGAACTGAAGCTGCGAGATGCTATATATATGTATACATTCTGTTGTGGACGTGTTACTTTGACAGCGCACCTAGACTGTTCTTCGGTGAGAACCTGAGAGTTCTCTGTGCCAGTGAGAGCCCATGAACGCAAGCTTCCTTCCGGTCCACAGAAAGAGCAAAGATTGCACCGGTACCTTGCTTTGGAAGAAGTTGTAGGCCAGTACCGGCTTACTACAGGTTTTCGAGTTCGTCTGGCCATCGTTTTGCACGGCACTGGAGCCTTTAAAACAGCCTGTCATGGCCAGTTTTTACACTACATCGATGAACGTGCACGCCTAATCAGCCTTTCATTGCTGTCATCAGCAGCTTACAGGCTGAAGATGTTTTTTGCCTGTAGGCCCTAGAGCACACTCGGTTCTTGATGACACTGACGGCTACTAAATGCTGCCATCGGTGAGTTGACCTTGCAGAACTAAATTTGTTGCTATTCGCGCAGTACTATAGAGTGTGCAAGTTTCTAAGCCCAGCAGATGTAATGTTTCTCTATGTTAAGTTCAAGCATGAAAAATTTACTACTACTGTTATATACATAAACATGTTATGGAAAGGCAGGCAAATACAGCAGCAGTTTTTTTGTGATTTGATATAAGTAAGCTCTTGTTTGATTATTAGGATGGGCCTGTCTATTTACCACAATTTAGAGTTGTGAAGTTAATGTGAATTTATTTTACAGGAACCAGGTTGCACTTGAGGAATTCATGTTATTTTGAAAAATTAGTTCTATAGACGATTACCACTGTGGTAGCACTATACCTCACTAGAACATATATATTGCAGTACGTAAATTTTACATGAGGCTTCAGTTTGCTTCTAAGTGATTAAAGCAGATTTTATCACTTTGACAAAGTGATATCTTCGTCAAATAAGCAATAGAAGTGAGTACTTTCAATGACTGTTTTTATATATCTCGTTTTTGGCTCATCACAGATCTCAGACTTTAGTTTATTAAGGTCCTGTGATGCATTGGTTGCACGCACTGGCACATCAAGCCTCATCATGACTTGGAGCACTTGTACAAAAATAGGCCAAACACGTGCTCCATAAATGTGCAAGTCTATGTTGCTGCTGGAACTGTTATTATTCAGTAGACCTGGAAGTGGCCTGGAAGCATGCATGGCAGCCTCATCTGGAAAGACATTGATCTGCTTGAGAACTTCGAGGGCACAAAAATGCCTAACTGCTGGTGGCAAGGTTAGTTTTTTAACATATGATTAAGTAAACACCACTTACTGCGCACAAATTGAAAGCCGAAGCATGGTTGCTCGCATTGTATATTATTCTCACACATAATGCTCATTGAACAATAATAGAACTAAATTGTGAGATAATTGAGAATGTTAAAAGTTGAAAGCCTGCAGCTTATAAATGAAACTCCAATCATCTGAGGCTCAAAAGCTCGTGCTTTTGAACGAGCACAAATACTTTGATTCCTCATTGAGTTCTCGAGCTTGTGACTCACTCTGTGAATCAAGTGCTCTGGAAGAAAATAGCAAGTGGGAGAAAATCACCTGGCTGTTCACAACTTGCAAGGAGAAAGACCTATTGAGCAAGCCTAAGACGATATAGGGTCAGTAACTGCATCTTTTCATTGATATACCATTTTGTCTCTAAGCGCTGTGGCAGGCTGTGTTTCAGCCGAACGTGTTGGCCACGATGGCATAGTGATATATTTTTTTTCTACAAATTATATGTGACCTAATCATGCATTGTTGATCTCTAAAGGTGATGCTCTGTGTGCCT